ATAATTTTCTCAGAATAAAGCCAGTGTGGGCTGCCATACATTCACTATCTCATGTTTAGCACAGCATTCATAAAATAAACACTTTTGTCCAGGTACAATTCATACAGGGTTCAGTCAGTTAAAACACACTCACTAACTCAGGGTTCAGTCAGTTAAAACACACTCACTCACTCAGGGTTCACTCAGTTAACACACACCCACTCATTCAGGGTTCAATCAGTTAAAACACTCACCCACTCATTCAGGGTTCAGTCAGTTAACACACACCCACTCACTCAGGGTTGAGTCAGTTAAAACAAACCCACTCACTCAGGGTTGAGTCAGTTAAAACACACTCACTCACTCAGGGTTCAGTCAGTTAACACACACCCACTCACTCAGGGTTGAGTCAGTTAAAACACACCCACTCACTCAGGGTTGAGTCAGTTAAAACACACCCACTCACTCAGGGTTGAGTCAGTTAAAACACACCCACTCACTCAGGGTTGAGTCAGTTAAAACACACCCACTCACTCAGGGTTCAGTCAGTTAAAACACACCCACTCACTCAGGGTTCACTCAGTTAACACACACCCACTCACTCAGGGTTCAGTCAGTTAAAAAACACACACTCACTCAGGGTTCACTCAGTTAACACACACCCACTCACTCAGGGTTGAGTCAGTTAAAACACACCCACTCACTCAGGGTTCAGTCAGTTAAAACACACCCACTCACTCAGGGTTCAGTCAGTTAAAACCCACCCACTCACTCAGGGTTCAGTCAGTTAAAACACACCCACTCACTCACGGTTGAGTCAGTTAAAACACACCCACTTACTCAGTGTTGAGTCAGTTAAAACACACCCACTTACTCAGGATTGAGTCAGTTAACACCACACCCACCCACTCATGGTTGAGTCAGTTAACACACCCACTCTTTGAGTATATTGCAAGATCCTATAATCCCCCTTTCCAGTATAAGTCAAGACCCCCATCTTGCCCCCCAAAACAAACAGAAGGACAGCAGATCAACAAGAGAAACACACAGTATGGAGATATGTTTTGTTCAGAATCTATAAATAAATGCCTGTGTTGTCACATTAGTCAGATTTGTAACTGCAGATCTACAAACTGCTTGTGAAAACAAAACATTTCCTAGGCCTTTTGTTTTATCAAAAGGTTTAATAAATACTGTGTTATTTAATTTATAATTACACTGGAAAAAAAAAAATGTCAAGATTTCTACAAATACGAATGCATTCAGTTTAAACAGTGTTTGATGCCCCCTTGAAACCTTCCTCACGCGCCCGGCCCTGGGTTGGGGTTAGTGAGCACTACTGTACAGTTTAATTCACTGTGTATTTCAGTTTTGTTTACTTTCCTATTTAGTGTAGTATGCACATGACGAGATACTGTTAAATATGCCAGACAATAAATTGTGCCGTTTGTGATATTTCTTTTGAAGAAAAGGCCAAAAACAATGCACAGAAAGAAGACTGCGGCAGCAACAAATATGTAGCAAAGAATGTTTGTCAAATGTACCAACACGGTATCATTTAAGTATGGACTGGGACTGCGCAGTATAGCAACATTTCAGCTGGATGAAGCTTGAAAGTGCAGTTAGCCCCACAAGGGTGATCCTAGGATACAAGAGACACCCCAGTAGTGTGTTTGTGAGACAAGCAACTGTTGCAGACAGGTTTAAAGTGCTTCAAGCAAGGTTCATACCTCAGAGTAACAGTCAGACACAGCTGGATGAAGCTTGAAAGTGCAGTTAGCCCCACAAGGGTGATCCTAGGATACAAGAGACACCCCAGTAGTGTGTTTGTGAGACAAGCAACTGTTGCAGACAGGTTTAAAGTGCTTCAAGCTAGGTTCATACCTCAGAGTAACAACAGTCAACACAGCTGGATGAAGCTTGAAAGTGCAGTTAGCCCCACAAGGGTGATCCTAGGATACAAGAGACACCCCAGTAGTGTGTTAGTGAGACAAGCAACTGTTGCAGACAGGTTTAAAGTGCTTCAAGCAAGGTTCATACCTCAGAGTAACAGTCAAACACAGCTGGATGAAGCTTGAAAGTGCAGTTAGCCCCACAAGGGTGATCCTAGGATACAAGAGACACTCCAGTAGTGTGTTTGTGAGACAAGCAACTGTTGCAGACAGGTTTAAAGTGCTTCAAGCTAGGTTCATACCTCAGAGTAACAGTCAAACACAGCTGGATGAAGCTTGAAAGTGCAGTTAGCCCCACAAGGGTGATCCTAGGATACAAGAGACACCCCAGTAGTGTGTTTGTGAGACAAGCAACTGTTGCAGACAGGTTTAAAGTGCTTCAAGCTAGGCTCATACCTCAGAGTAACAGTCAAACACAGCTGGATGAAGCTTGAAAGTGCAGTTAGCCCCACAAGGGTGATCCTAGGATACAAGAGACACCCCAGTAGTGTGTTTGTGAGACAAGCAACTGTTGCAGACAGGTTTAAAGTGCTTCAAGCTAGGCTCATACCTCAGAGTAACAGTCAAACACAGCTGGATGAAGCTTGAAAGTGCAGTTAGCCCCACAAGGGTGATCCTAGGATACAAGAGACACCCCAGTAGTGTGTTTGTGAGACAAGCAACTGTTGCAGACAGGTTTAAAGTGCTTCAAGCTAGGCTCATACCTCAGAGTAACAGTCAAACACAGCTGGATGAAGCTTGAAAGTGCAGTTAGCCCCACAAGGGTGATCCTAGGATACAAGAGACACCCCAGTAGTGTGTTTGTGAGACAAGCAACTGTTGCAGACAGGTTTAAAGTGCTTCAAGCTAGGCTCATACCTCAGAGTAACAGTCAAACACAGCTGGATGAAGCTTGAAAGTGCAGTTAGCCCCACAAGGGTGATCCTAGGATACAAGAGACACCCCAGTAGTGTGTTTGTGAGACAAGCAACTGTTGCAGACAGGTTTAAAGTGCTTCAAGCTAGGCTCATACCTCAGAGTAACAGTCAAACACAGCTGGATGAAGCCCTGGATACAGCTAACAGTCACAGGCTGACAACAGCAAAGATGGCACAAACAGAAGACACACTGACATATGTTTGCATGCTGGACAATTAAACAGAAAACACTGGAAGAGGAGAGCAGTGTCAAAGTGTTAGAGCAAAATCAGACTTGTCTAGGGATCTAATCATATTGGGCAGAGACTGGCCAGTGAGTGTTGTAGAATCACAAACAGGTTGCTGATAATTGCCACCCATGTGATGTGATTATCTATACAAATGGTTCTGTGTTGAGAGCCAGAAGAAGTGCATGGGGATTAACTGCAAAAGCAAACGGACCATGCTTAATGCAAGAAAACCTAGCAAATGATATGATAACATCTAGTTTTAGAATGGAGGTGGAGGCAGTCATAGCAGCTTTCCACTGCCTTGAAAACCACAGGTGCACAAACAAACGTTATGATTGTAACAGACACACAAAGCACACTGAGACAGGCATGCTCTGTGTAGAGTGGCAAGCATCACCTCAAAGGTTCCGGACTGTCAGCATCTTTCAGATATTTTCTCTAGAGCATGCAGGTGTTCTGAGACAATGAACAGGCAGATAGAACAGCTGGCTCTGCACCATTGGGGAGTAAACTGATGCATGACAAGCTAGATGTGGTAACAGTTCTTTGGGAGTAAGTGAATAATCTGGAGGTATGAACAGATCACTACAGTCTGGAGAGAATGGTACAGCCATTCTGGTGTCTGGCCGACAATCTACATCAGGGATGGGCACCGTTTTTTGGTTTGCAGGCCAACTTTAGAACTACCAATCTGGCTGTGGTCCATACAGAAAACAATCAATTACAAACATCCATATTTCCAAGTAACACAATATTTTTGTGGGATCATCTAAGACTGTAATTTCTCACTTCAAAACTGACCAGACATATTCACCCACTTAAACACTTCTATATATTCCTAAAGTGTCTGTTCAAGCTAGTTATTAGCAGAAATGTGCTGGAGGGTACAGTGAGACAGGGGAACCCAGATTTGACATCAGCCTCGTGGGCTAGTAAACATTGCTAGATGGGCCAGTTCTGGTCAGTGGGTCATAGTTTGCCCACCCAGCTCTACACTCAGAGGAAAGGTGAGATGGGGCACTATCAGAACTGGAACTCATCGCTGGCTGCTGAGGATAAGGACAGAGTGCTAGGGGAATGTCCCAAACGTCACTGCCTGACTCAACTCAACACAACTTCAGTTTAAAATTTACACAAGTTTAAGATTTATCATAAAATATTATCAACATTCTCACAACGTGAAAAAACAAAAAATTACAATTTCCTTCAGGAAAAAACACAATAAAAAAACTTGTAACACATTCTCAATTTAAACAAATAAATAAGTGGACATTTTCCTGGGCAGAAATGTTCAGACATTCACTAAAATAACACTCACTCAAGGACACAAACAGGCAGTCGACATTTAGCGTGTATAGGAGAGCATTCACTCACTGCAAGAGTTCATCTGTTTCTTACTGATGATGCAAATCACTCAAGTACATTTGAACTGCTACTCATTCAATCTGATGTCCACTGACTCAAGTAACTTTACCAGGGGGCTCAATACAAGCTACAACAATCAATTCAAACTAAATCACTCATGAAAGGACTCATACAACATTCCATCCAGGTCCAACTCCAACTTTATATCAACATTCGAGCAGACAAAACTTATTTAAAAAAATAATAAAAACAGGACAGCAAAACATTGACAGTAAACAACTGTGTGCTTAAACTTCACAAGCCAACGACCAACATCCATAAAGTCTAACTCTTATAACTAAGCTAACCTTGTCTTCATGCCAAATCTGGTGGCAACTTACAATCAAAGAAAAAAGCAAATCTACAGGCTCTTTTCTTTATTGATTAAAAAAGAAGTTTCTATAAATGAAACGAATGACAAATGACAGAGAAACTGACGGCTGAATGCCAGGTCTCTGACATGTAGGCTGGGCAGGCTGGGTGCAGGCAAGGAAGCGGCCTCACCAAATCAATGAGGGTTACTTCGTTTCCTTTGCTGGACTGGTGGCTGGCTTGTTCCTGGGGGCAGCAGTTGCTCGATTGCTGTGGAACTTGGAGTTCCCAATGCTGATGGGCTTGCTTGTCCCGGCAGTGCTGCATGAGGTGCTGGTGGTGGCAGAGGTTGGTGGAGGAGGTTGAGTGCTGGTGTCAGTGGAAGGATGATCAAAGGCTGGCTGGAGATGAGTGATCGACTGGGGCATTGGAGGAGGATGCTGCACTTGTTGGTGTATCTGCTCTGGTGTGGGAGGCCCTTGTGTGACATGCCCCGACCCGTTGACAATATTCAGTGTCATTCCAATAATACCGTTTACCTTTGAAGGCGACAACGACAGGGGATGGAACGCGTAGCCATTTTCCTCACTGCTGTAACTGTTTAAATAGCCATTACTGTAAGAGGAGCTGGGGCTCGGATCATTGCTGCCTTGGTAGTGATGATACTGGTAGTGATGAGTTGCTGCAGGAGCATGGGAGCTTCCATTGGTCATGCCATTCCCAATATAGTTGCCTTTTACTCCAGAACTTTTCCCATAGTAGTTATATCCTCCCGCTCGCCTGTGAGACTGTCGACCTTTCCCAAAGGGAGAGTCGTCGTAGCTGACAGGAGGCGAGCCATTAGAGTTGTAGTGGACAGTTCCATTGATGCGGATGGCCATGGTAACACTACTGTAGGAGCCATCCATGTAGGTATTCTGGATGTGCAGCTCGGTGGCGTGAACCGGATTAATGATCACCGTTTGTTTCTTTAGGTAGAGGTCCCTGGCATTCTCCACAAGGTCATCAATGTCAAGGTTGCCTGAATGATTGTTGAGGTTGCCAGATGTTTGGTCCTTCTTGGCCACTGTGTGGTACGAGCACTTTAGGTCCCCAAACCTAAAAACAGATAATACAAACAGATAAAAATGAGTGCAATTTCAAACCGGTGTCATCAGTCAAGTTTTAAACACTTTGGGGGAAGGAGAAACAACGAGACTGTACTCTGACTCATGACAGCAGACAGGACAATCACTGGTCAGAGGGGTTGTGTGTAGACAAGATGGACAGGGATACTAGGGTAACTGAGTGTTACAAGTGAGCAGACTTGACAAACGGGTAGACCAATAAACAGGAGTTGAGAGTTTACCAAGCCAGGGGAGGGATGAGTCTCTTTGGTATCTCCAGAATGCTAGAATTGATGTTTGTCTGGCATAGGCTCCATCTAAAGCTGTGGGGGAGGAGAGAAGTTCATATTTGTAACAAGCGTTCCTTCTGTGTAGCTGGAATAATGTTTTCACTAGGACTTGAATTATATGCGGTGAAGTCAAACAGTAAGTCATAAATGGTTATGGGACGGCAGAACAATGTAGTTAGGGATTTCTAAAGGTGTCATTAAGTGACAGCGACACCAAACTTTATGTCTCAGTTCATCAGGTGGGGCTAGATATTGCATGCACGTTCGCAATACAGAAACAAAATGGCAACTGTACTTACGGAATGTACCCTCAAAGAATAATGTGCTGTTGTGCCTTTTTTGTTTGGGGAAAGGGGCTGCTTGAAAAGTACATTCATAAGGAAATGCTTCCTACCTATACTGATAAATGTTTATCCCGTAAAGCGGTGCATAGATGGGTTGAAAAAACTGTACTCAAGGACGCTCTAAAACTGTTGATGAATCCGATCTGGTTGTCTTGTTGAGATTGCAACAGATGCATCTGTGCAGCAGGTGGAGGAGATGATTAGAGGTGACAGGCGAGTAAAGGTTGACCCTGTAGCAGCTGCAATAGGGTGCTCACATGGTTCAGCATATAACAAAATGCATGATCAACTGAAATTTAAGAAAGTGTTCTCAAGGTGGGTACCCAAACAATTGATGGACGAACACAAAATAAACCGATTAGACCTGTCCTTACAGCATCTAGGTGGATACGCAGATGGAGGAGAAGACACGCTAAACAGTATTTTTACTGGGGACAAATCTTGGGTGCATCACTAACAGCCCCAATCAAAGCGTGCTTCGTGCTTTAATGCAATGGAAACATCCTTCTCTGCCTTGTGTTAAACAAAATCCAAGATTATGCTGACAATATTCTGAGATTATCAAGGAGTGCTTTAATGCAATGGAAACATCCTTCTCTGCCTTGTGTTAAACAAAATCCAAGATTATGCTGAGATTATCAAGGAGTGATTTTAACCAATTTTTAAAAAAAGAAGTAACAATGTGAACAATGATTGATACTGTCAAGTTCTATCGATGCTTCATGATGCAATTGGAAGAAAACGTCCAGGCCTGATGACTAGAGGAGTACTGGTCTCTCACGACAATACCAGACCACTATGGCTCGATTAACTCCAGAGAAAATTAACCATCTAGGGAGGGAATTTCTGGAATATACAGCCCGCCGTAGCCTTTAGCGATTTCTACCCTTTTACCACTAAACAAACTACCTTGGCGGAAGACATTTGGTGAATAACGCAGAAGTTCAATGTGAAGTGAAAATGTTATATATAAAATAGAGCATGCAGTTCATCAGGTGGGGCTAGATATTGCAGGAACATTCGCAATACAGAAACAAACAGCAGATTTGGGAGCAGGGACACAATGATGGAATATGTGCATCAATGTTGGTGGAAATTATGTTGAAAAAAAATAAAGGGACAGTGTAAGTGTAAAAATGAACAGTTTTCTAGTTGTTATCATCTTTAGTTTTTTCTTCTTTTTTTAGACCATTATTTGTGACTAACTTATCGACTTCTCCTCATACAGTGATAAGTTGATTTGTGAACAACTACACCAGATTACTGTTGCTACACTCAGCCAGTGGCTACCTGGGATTAGTGTGCTTGTGAGCAATGAGAATAAATGGGTGGCTACTCAGTAGCCAATAACTGTGTGTGGAAGCCAGACTAGCTTTTACATTATTACGAGCGCTTGAAAAACATTCTTGAGAATTGCCAACATGTTAATCAGTGTAAGCATGTTAATGAAAGTGTGGGCTTGCTAACAAAAAAATTACAACTGTACTTCTGTCACACCTATTAGAAGGTATTTAATATGTTCTTATTATCAGTTTACCACTTTGGGTAGCTATTTTGATTGCCAGGGAATACATATAACAAATTATGATACTAACTGGCAGGGCCAAAAAAAGCCTGAACTTAGATGAAATGCTAACATTTTTACCTATATTTTTTATTTCTATTTTACTTCAATTTCAAAACAGGGAAATGAGAGTTAAAGAACCTCTAGAGACATGGAATGAAAGTTGAACGCTAATGAAAAAAAAAAAAAAAACTTGAGAAAGTGATAAATATTAATTTAGATGCATTCAAGAAAGGCATGGTCAACGGAGACATGTGTGGACAACCATCAGTGATAAGACACAGACGATGGTGACAGAGTGTATTGAGCAGTGGATAGTGAATCACCAAACAGACACTCAATGGACAAAGGAAATTATGCCCAAGAGAACCGCTTGGAGGAATGTTGATGAGCTGCTAAAGGTGCCGGACTGGACTCCATCGATTATATCACAAGGGTTGTACAAAACAGAACTGGGTGGAGGAATAGAGTGTCAGCCTTGCACAAGGTTTCAGATTGGACTCCATCCATGACATCACAAGGGTTGTAAAGAACAGAATTAGCTTTGACAGGTTTTGGTTGACATGATATTTGAAGACATTGTTCAGGATGACTTGTGACAGCTTCGGCGGTACTGGTTGCAGTTACACACTGTCTGGACATGGTAAGTATGAATATATATTGTTTTTAAATGTATGTAAATGAAACCTGTTTTTAAGGTGGATGGGGTGGTTATTTCTCTGCTCCATTTGTATTTGCTCCACAATAACTCGCCATCACATCAAAAATAAAATCACATTTACACAAAATAATTATTCTGAATAACAAACAATCCATCTGTTTAATGACCTGGAGCCATGAAGATAAACACTAACAGGCAACCCCTTGGAATTTAAAAAAAACTGACTCATGACTCTAAATGTTATTTTCCTGCTTCTTCTTCTTCGGGTAGAGTTTCAAACAGTTATAATGATGAGTTTATTTAAAGGAAATTTTGAGAAATACAGGGCAAAAGATTAACAGACTAGTAAACTCATCAACAGTGCATCTGCTCTTCACACATTCTGATCTGTAAAACACACTTACTTGCAAACAACCTCCGTGGGGTCCACCCACAGGGTAAGTTCAAAGGGCAGCTTGAAATCAGTGGCATTAATGCCAAGTCGGCTGCATACTTTCTCAATCAGTGGATCCAGGGGCTCCTCTGGCCACACGCGGATGCAGCGAAATGCCTGGCCTTTTGTTGGGCAAGTTTCGTGCCAATGGTCACGGAATCTTTCTTCTAGTAACTCTGAGAAATGCTGCCGGAACTCAAGAACTTTCTCCTTGCTGATGTTGTTGTGGGCAAGGAATACTCGTGAGAGAAACTCTGATGCTGCACTAACCTCTGGTTTCATCTCACACTTGGGCTGGCGTCTAAAACTGAACACACAAAAATCAAATCCGACTTAGGATTTCTGGAATCAATCAGTTTCCAGAGTGTTCTGTTAATAGTTTTAAAATACTAATACTGTACTGCATATAGCGATCTGTTATCCAGCGGAGTAGAGTTTTAAAGCGATGAGGTCCAGTCCCTACTCTGTCCAAACTTAAACTTGTAGCACCTGGAGTTGCCACCGAAGTCAACAGCCACAGAACAAGGCATAGATGGTTTTCCTGTGAGAAGCATGTGAAGGGTGAAGGTTGTCGACCTGTGAAGGTTAGCATGAAGAATGGCGGCTGGACATCTTTCTCCAGTAGCTGGATAATACTGCAGACATGACCCAATTTACTGACTGTAGATAAGAGAAAAAAAACAACATTCAGTTAACAGATAAGTTTTTAAAGCCATGTCCAAGCCCTCCGGCATGTTTCAGGTACGGTGCCATATGTGGCCTATGAGGCAATACAATGCCGGTGGCCTTCAACTTCCAGACAAGATTCAGAAACCCTTTTTATGAGAATGGATCCACTCCACAGCCAGGTAAACAAGCATTTGTCTACACACTTGGCGTATAATCTACTCATGTTTCTATAGATGTTTCAGCCATTGGTGGGTATGTGGTCAACATCATGTCAGCCACCTTTACTTCCCACCACAATGCATGCTACCAGCTTTAGGCTCAGCTCCATGTCAGCCACCTTTACTTCCCAACACAATGCATGCTACCAGCTTTAGGCTCAGCTCTATGACAGCCACCTTTACTTCCCAACACAATGCATGCTACCAGCTTTAGGCTCAGCTCCATGTCAGCCACCTTTACTTCCCAACACAATGCATGCTACCAGCTTTAGGCTCAGCTCTATGGCAGCCACCTTTACTTCCCAACACAAAGCATGCTACCAGCTTTAGGCTCAGCTCCATGTCAGCCACCTTTACTTCCCAACACAAAGCATGCTACCAGCTTTAGGCTCAGCTCTATGTCAGCCACCTTTACTTCCCAACACAATGCATGCTACCAGCTTTAGGCTCAGCTCCATGTCAGCCACCTTTACTTCCCAACACAATGCATGCTACCAGAATTAGGCTCAGCTCTATGGAAGCCACCTTTACTTCCCAACACAATGCATGCTTCCAGCTTTAGGCTCAGCTCTATGGCAGCCACCTTTACTTCCCAACACAATGCATGCTACCAGCTTTAGGTTCAGCTCCATGTCAGCCACCTTTACTTCCCAACACAATGCATGCTACCAGCTTTAGGCTCAGCTCCATGTCAGCCAAAGTTATTTAAAAAAAAATAAAGACTTGAACTGTAGACCACAGACCAGATGGCATGTGTCTAGAGTCAGAGTCAGGATACGAACCTCTGATCACTGGTAGACAGGCATGTGCTGCAGTCACTGTAGCATTTAGGACAAAACACAATAAATGTTGTCTTATTTTCTTATTATGCTAAATTTTTACATCGGCTAGGATGTTTTGTTGTTAACCTTTCTTTGCAGTAAACAAGGTGGGCCGATAGGGATCATGCTGTAAGTGTCAAACATGGCCCTTACAACACTTGAAAGATGTTTGTCAAACAAGTGTCATGTCGACAACGTCAAACTCAGAGCTAGACAAAAATCTAAAAGCATTCAAGGTGCTAGCAGCAGCTGATATTGAACAACGCCTACTTTTCCTTCTCTATCAAGGGCTTGTGCTTAGCCTCATTGACTATGGTCTTAGTCTCCTCACTGTCAGCAAAACTCAGCTAGAAAGACTGGACCGAGTACAAAATGAGGCCATGAGACTCATACTCGGCTGCATAAAAGACACCTTTTGCAACGCCATGCGTTATGTCCTGTGTTTGCCGACGATGACTAGAAGATACAAAGTGGCACAGGTCAAGGCGTACATGAGGGTATCGGCAGACGTTAACCACCCACTGCACAAAGCTATACACGACACAAAAGGAATGCTTCTAAAAAAAAGCCCCTCCTGGATGGCCAAGACTGAAGATTTAATCCAGCAGGTATGTGACCTAGACGAGATCAGTCACACAAAAAAACGGACGAATATACCAGTAGACATGCATGGCATTTCTAAGGTTGCAATCACACTCAGAAAATTATGCAGGGATCAGATTCCTTTGCCGGTAGACACAGAGGTAAGGGCACTGATAGATTAGCATTCTAGATGTTTTAGGATGGTTAAAAGTCAGGAAACCCACTCTTACCAATCTATACAATATTGGACACTCTCCCAAATACTTGTCGCAAATTATTCACTGTCAAAAACATCCTATTCAGGGTCTCAAGAAGTCATGTGCAGTTGTAAGTATTTCACCTGCCACACGGGTGACCGGTGTTCAGTTCCCGCCGGGTGGTCAGTTTTTTAACCCTTAAAAGAGTGGTTGGCATATCGTGTTGTGATTTACAGCTAGGCTGCGACATCTGCGCCTTTCGCCTGGGATTGTGGTTTACAGCTGGGCTGTGATAGCGGCGGCGAGATGCTCAATGGTCATGTAAAGGGTAGGTAAGCTTCCATGAAAGGGAGGTTTGCACGTTGTGTTGTGGATTTGTGTCCCCTCAAACATGTGGCCCTGGAATCCACAAGGGGAGTCACAGGTAAAGTGAATAATGGATCAGAAACTATTTCTCTACACACCACTTTCATTGATTGAAAACTACTCCTCCCATGACGCTTAAACAATTGATCAAAAATTATTCCTCCCCAGGGAGCTTAGCTTAATTTCTAAACATTGCTATCCATCAAGAAATAACAGAAGACGTGGCATGTGATAATGATGGCCTTAATGCTTTTACAAAGTCTCTCAAGGGGATGTTGTTTGCAATGAATATTTGGGACCGGTATTCAGAAGAGAAAATGACCAGACTTGTGACAGTTATGATCCGCTCAAAATTGGTGGCAACCCTATTCTGGAACATCCCTACTCAGATGACAAAGTCCTTCTTTCGAACAGCATAAAGGGAATAGAAAATTTAATATTGTCTGTCCAAAAGCACAGTGAAGATCAAAATCTGTTCTTGAATTTAGTGAAAACGAAAATAGTGCCCGCAAAATAAAACTGGCTGTCACCCAAAAATAACAATAAGTGATGAAGAAATTGAAAATGTTACAAACTTTGAATACCTAGGCTCTGGAATAAACAGCAATGGAGACTGTTTGACAGAAATTAAAAGGAGGATGGCCATAGCAATGCAAAGATTGAACAGCCTAGTCTATGGTTGAGCACCAGCAAGGAGATCAAAATTAGAATTTTGAGAGCATGCATCTTTTCTGTAGCTACATACGGATGTGAATCGTGGACTATCTCCCAGTCCTTAACCCTTTTAGCACGGGAAGTTTTTCAGATGTCTAGCCAAAAACACGGAGCATTTTTTCAGTAAATTTGGTTATTACTTTAATTTTTTTGGACACATTTCTGTTATTCTGACCCCCATGAAATAACATATCTATTTGAAGGATATAGATTGAAGTTCATGATTTTCACAATATCGTTAAAATTAATTGGTGTATATGCAAATTATCTCATTTGCATATCTAAAAATTGAAAATTAGAATCTGAATTTTCAACTTCAATGCATGAAACATACAACTAAAAACAAAAATATATTTTATTTGAAATCTTTTTATTGATCCTTGGCCTTTTTACAAATGTTGTAAGCAATTCAATAGTCAAAAACAGGTATATATATATGAAACAGCAATAATATCTTTATATGACATGTGTTTTTTTGACCATCAGTCAGCACAAGAAATGGATGTGCCGGAGTGCCAACATCTTTAGGTAGATGTACCCAGAGCCCTGGTTGGGCTGTGGTCTGAACACAACAGCGTCCCCATCTGATTCCCCACTATTACTGCTAACACTAGATCCTGCATCAGTATCAACAGAATTAGTGTAATCACTTGATTCAAATGTTTTATCAACATCAAGTTTAGGGGCAGAAGCATACGAGTCAGACATACTTTTAGCGGTTCAGGTCACTATCTAAAAAATTCAACAACAATTTTCACATCTATACCAAACACTCGAAAGTCACCATGTGTAAAGCTAATACATCAGTCAATATAAATGAATCACTTTCAGTGTTTCAAAATAGGAGATTTCTTAGCGGTTCGTGGCGAAACACGATTGGGCCGATGATCGGCCGTTCCGTGTTTTTTGGCCAGACATCCGCCGGCCGATAATCGGCCGTCCGTGCTAAGAGGGTTAAGTAGGAGAATAGGGGCTTTTGAGCTGTAATGCTATAGAAAGATTCTCAGAATATCTTGGACAAAGAGGAGAAATACTGACATCTTGAAAGATCTGAACATCAATGAAGATTGGCTAACAAACAGCATCCTGTCTCGAAAGCTGAAAAATTTTGGTCATTTCAAGCGCCACGACGGATTGGAAAAATTATAGCAGAAAGCATGGTACCAGGAAGGAGGGGTAGGGGCCGGCCGACATGAAAATGGGCGCAGGATATAAGTGACTCCTTGAGTATGAAAGTACATGAGGCGGGAGAACTGGCGAGAGATCGAGTTTCTTTCAGGCAGACCGTGATGAGAGGGACGTTCTGCAAAGGACCTGCTAAATAATGATGATGATGATGATGATTTGGAAGAGTGCCAAATACTGGACTGTCCACATGATGTCATCTGGGGGTGACATTAGGAAACAACTGAAGCAAGGACACAGCAGATATCATCAACGCTGCCAGGACTGTGCTTGTGGATGAGGGATTCCTGACACTTAACATAGCGACTACGGTGTTCGGCAATTTGCGGTCTTTTGGCAATTTCCGTTACCCTGGAAACCGTTCGAAACTTGCTTCGCAAATGTCGGCTGGGGTTTCGGGATGGGTCCTAATCTCTCATGAAATTTTGCGATTGGTGTGATTTTCACCCACTATAAAAAGCTGAAAACGGCGGGAAGGAACCCGATTAACAGTGCATGTCTACGACAGCCGGACGTCCTCTGTTTTTCTG